CCCAAGGACCCAGTGTTGTGTGAACAAGCCTGTAAACTGCGGGGGAGACACTGAGGCCCAGCACGGGGCTGGGGTGGCCACACGCACAGCGGTCGGGGCGATGCCGGATGCTCTCTGTCCAGGGCCCATCTAATCCCCACAGTGACCTTTTCTCCTTTACGGAAATGGGCGAGAGGACGGAGCCCTGTCACACGGCACCACTGAGGTCAAGTGCAGGGGGACATGCAGTTATCAAAGTGGAAGGAATTTGTGACGCCAAGAAATCCATCCAGAGACGTACGTGTGACAACCCTGAAGCAAGAGGCAGGAGGTCAGGGGGTCAGTAAGAGGCGGAGCCGGAAACCACATCCAGCCAGGACCAGGCTCTGAGCCATGGGGCAATGATGCCCCCAACATTAGGGGATCCCCATGCCTTGGTCAAAAACCACCTCCTGGGGACAGGCTGCACGCACAGCAGTCCATGGAAGGGCCACAGAAGGGGGCTGTCACCACCCAGCACCCAGAGGAAGGCACCCAGGGAAGCTCCCGCACCCACGATGCTCCTGGGGTCATGCAGTAAGTACCGTCTCCCTACCAAGTCAGGTTTACCTAGCGTGTGGCTGCCAAGGACTCTGAAATACACGCTTCCTGCCTGACCCCAAACTCAGATCTCAGATCCACAAGCAAGTTCAGAGAACTTAAAGGCTCATTTAAAACAGGGCTGGGTCTTGGGAAAGGTAAAAGCTCTGGAAGTGGAATTTGGAAAAACTGCATGGAGTTCAAGGTCGAGCCTGAATTTGACCAGAGGCCTCAGAGGTCCCTGACAGACCCGCGTCAGGTCCTGAGGCCACCCCGGCAGGAATCCCTGAGGGCCGAACCAGCCTCCCTCCTCCCGGCCGCTGGCTTGGGAGGGTGGGGAGTTTCCTTCATGAGCAGCTAAGTTCGGCCGAGGCGCCTTCCCTTTAAACTAGACGGGAAATCACGTCTTCTAGAGAGTTTCCCAAGAGCCCACGTGACAGGTGGAAGTGACCGCCACAGATGAGACGTGATGGGAAGCTCCTTTCCCGGCTGTTCCTTTTATCAGAGAACTGAAATGCCCCGTCAACACGGCGACAGCGAGGCCAGGGCTACCACGCAGGGGGTTCTGTGGTCCGGTCCCCAGTGTTACCCCCACGGAACTCCCATCACAGAGTGCAGAGCTGAGAACCCCCCTCCTCGCCTCGTGGAGGAGGAAGCAAAAGCTCTCAGAACATGGGTGATGTCCCCGCAGGTCACAGCAAACCTCGTCCTCAGCTGGAGTCTGTTCCCATAAGACCCATGCTCCCAACAGCCCCAGGTCCCTCTGTGCAGGGGACATCAGTGAGGTGTGACCTTCTGTGCCAGTGCACCCGCCTGAGCCGGGATCTGAACCTTCGGCTTGAAGTTGTGAATGAGCCCACCCTGTCCTTCTAGCAGCCGGTGCTATGATGGAGCGCAGCTCTAGCGAGGTCGTTACCTCCTCGGCCTCGTGGCCACCCTGTGAAGGGGCGGGCGTCCCTGTGTCCCTTACACATGGCCCCACGGCGGAGACGCCAGACGCGCCAGGACTGCAGACTTCCCGCCCTTCTGATTTGCGCTGTTATCACGAGGTGGCCACTGAAATAAGATGGGAAAGAAGTGGCGAAACAGAGCGGAATCCTAACGCCGGGGCCTGAGCCCTCCACGTTCAATTCCGTCCTGCGCCCTCCGGTTGGGTTTTTAATTACGGAGTCAGTCCTTGCTGTGGGGAGGGGACGGTGGCCTCTCCATCTTCTTGATGGTGGGGGGCGGGGGTACCGTTGTCGCAAACCCCATCAACTGAGTAATTCGGGCTCTCAAAGTCAGGTTGTTTCAGACTCGAGCACCAGGAAGGTGTTTATATTTCCTGAAAAGCCGGGAACATTCTTTTAACCACAATGCAGGCATTGTGCTTTCATTTTTGCCGTGTCAGCCAGGAAGCCGCGGGCGGAATTTCAGGCACGATTGCAGTGACATTGTATCTGCAGGGAAGCGGAGCTGGCATTTACCGGGTGCCAGCTCGTGCAAGGTGCTTCCAGAAAATATCTTTACTGAATGTCCGCAATCCCCCGGGTATTATTACTCCAACTGCCCGGAGCAGAAAACCCGAGTCAGAGGAGGAGGCCGGGAGCTGAGACTCGGCTTGTACACGGTGACGGCAGCACCCGGACCCAAAGCCACCCGGGTTATGAACTGTCCTGACACAGTGCGGCCTTCCTCCCCTAACCTTTCCTGGGCGTACGGAGCCTGCATGACCAAGATGTCCTATTGGTAACGCCAGCCAGCAGGATGGAAGTGGGGGATGCCCCCTGCCCAGGGCACGGCTGTTGGCAGCAGGACTCCGGGATGCCAGAACGAGCGAGCGTTTTGTTGGGTATCCCTGGGGCCGAAAGGGGGCAGTTGAGATGGCTGCGCCTTCCGCGGACACCAGGTCTCCTCTGGCAGCCACGTAGCACTAACAGTCCCTCCCCCCACTCCCCACCTGTCTGCTCGGGTCCAGGGTGCAGGTGACTTTGGCGCTCGGGAAACGTCCCAGCAACTCCAACACCAAATCACTCTGTTGGATTCCTAGTTACGATGGGTTTTGAATGACTGATTTACACAGGGGTGACGCCTGCCTGAACACAGCTGGGGGCCGGTCCCCGGCCGAGTATGGCGTCCAAGGAGCGACGGCTGAGACAGCTGTGGGACCCTCATGGGGAGGAACACGCACCCGTGGAGCATCTCCATCCAAGGCAGGGAGCTCCAGCGAGCTCTCACACCGAGTCAGTGTGCGACAGACAGTACAGTGAAGACCTTACACGCCCGCGACTCCCCTGTGCAGCTTCAAAAGCAGGAGACATGGATGTGTGGTCACAGGTGTGGCTCCCTCTGGGAGGGTGCGGGGGTGGGGGCCTGGGAGAGACCACCGGGGGGCTTGAGCGAGATGGCGGGCAGGGGGCCACCTGTGTGCCTGCCTGTGAGTGCCGGTGCCCCACTCACGGGGCTAAGACCCAGGGTCCTTGGTACTTGACGGCAGGCCTGTTCCAAGCTGAGCTACTGGTTGGGGATCGCTGCCGGTACTGGGTTTTGACCCTGGATAAATAATCAAAGAGACAAACTAATTTCTCTTTAAAAAATCATCTCACAAAGGTGGCAGCAGAAGCGTTCCCGTTTCAGCAACTCCACACACAGTAGGGCGACGGGGACCGCCAGCACGGAGACGATGGACAGTCGAGGGGACCGCTGTCCCCGCACTGGTAGTTTGCCATCCAAAGCCTGCTTTTGTACAGAGTAAGCTTGCTTGCCTTGAGACATGAACTCCGTTTGAAAATAGCTTTCAGGTTTTTACCACTTTTTCCCCGAAAGGAATTAGGAATCTCCCACTGACACATAAATCTCAAGGCGCCAGTCACACGGATGACCGTGAGTCTCCGGTTGTGGGCAGGGCGGCTTCTCAGGGCCCTGCCCGGGGGAACTGCGGCCAGAGCTTGTGGAGTTGGGGTCGGACACACACTGGCCCTCCTGCCCCCGGAGGAGCCTGGGCGGTTGCCGCCCCTCTCGGAGCCGCAGCGTTTCCATTTACAAACCAGGGGAGTCTGCCTCGCCCTGCGGTGGTGGGTGGGTGACTGACTCAGGGCCCAGGGCTTTCCGGTCTGCTGGACATCCTGCCCGCTGGTGCCCCTCGGCCCCAGCCTGTGCGCTGGCTGCTCGCCCACGTGGTGTGGCGTGTGCCAGGTAGCGTCCGGGAGGCACCTTCTATGGCGTGTCTGGCCCATGTCACGTGCTCAGTAAATCCTGGCCTTGCCACACCTTCACCAAAACGCTTCCTTCTGTGTGTGTTTTGTCCGGGATGTCCTTCAACACATCACACGGGGACATCAGGACACCGGGACACCTCCCACCCACCCTCCAGCTCCCCGGCCCACTGCAAGACACAAATGACCAGCAGTAACCTTCTAGCAACCTCTGTCCGACACGAGGCTTCCTCTCCCTCGCTGAGGCAGCGCCCCCCGATGGCCCGAGACGCAGTGCCTGGCCTCCCGGGGCCCCGGTCTCCACTTTGGAAGCAGGCAGCAGCGCCTGCCCGCTCCTCGGGGGTGCCACGCTGAGTGGAGCTGCCCTGCGCCTGTGTTTGCCACCCCTGCTCAGTGGGGTCACCGCAGGCCACCCTGGGGGCTCATGACAAAGCAGGGGAGTCTGCGACAGGGGGCGGGAGGGGGACCGTGTAGACAAAGGGGTCCGTGCAGAAAGACAAGGCACCCCGGTGTCCAGGGGTGTGCCCACTGCCTGCGAATGTGGCGTCCCCTGTCCTGTACGGGATGTGGTGAGGGACGGCTGGACCCTGAGACAGCCGAGGTCTGAACGCCCTGCAGTGGGCATGGGGCAGACACAGATGCTCTGCACCTGAGGAGGGGTCCCCGTGCTGAGCTCAGACTGAGCCGGTCTCATCACCGGATGCCTGGCCACTCACACCCGCATACCGATGCTGTCTAGACTGTAAGAAGGAGGCAGGACGCAATCACTTGTGTGACTGTGTTTGGGTATAAACTGCAACAGGAATGCAGGGGGAAGTCGTGACTTCTTCCTCATTTAAGGATGCGTGAACTCCTCCGTGGGAGAGCTGGCCTCAGCCCCCACTGCAGGGAAGGAGCTGAGAGCGAAGCTCATTACCGAAAACCCCCCAACGCCCAGCGGAGAGGACGAACTCAATCCGCACTTTTGCACATTTCTACAGGGACGTAAATCAATTTAAGGACTTAAAATAGCCCCAGAAACGAGGGGGAAAAGATCGCGCTCTGTCAGTTACCATGGGAATTACTAATTGAAGCACTTCCTCTGCCTTTTAAAGGTCCTTGCCATTCTCGTGCTGTTGAGAATGTAAAATATGAGGGAGGCAGCATCTGCTTCCTGCCAGTTGATGATTACAAAAGTATCAGCATGGAAGTTCAAGTTGAAGTGTCGTAAGCAGTAAGGCTCACTTCCCGTGGTGGGGACGTACTTACTATGAAAACCCATCTTGGATCCAAGTTCAGCCGTCAAGCGTACAGTCTTCAGAGGGTTCTGAGAAGTCAGGACGAGAGAGGCTGACGGCCCCAGTGCTCTGCTGGCCCTTCGTCAGTGGCAGAAGGCTGGCGGGACAGACACTGACGGTCACCCAGACGCCTGTCCCCTGTCACCCAGAGAACTCGCCAACCTCCCTGGAGGAACTGCTGGGGGCCTTGTGTTCTGAAAACTACAGAACTGACCACCGAGCTTATTGAAACCGAAACTCCCGCAGCATCCCCTGTGGCGTTTCTGTTTCGTTTCGTTTTTGCATTACTCAAACAGAGCCTGCATTCCCCAAAGTAACGTTCCTGAAGGTTTCCAACCAGCATCTTCGTGGAAGGGTCACTTGTCACACAATGAGAGGGCCCTTGGAGCGCCAAAGGCCCGCTGAGGTCCTGGGTTTTTTTAATAAAGAAGAAAAGCTTCCCCTTAAAATTGAGACTTGTCCACAGTCAGCCAAGGGCTGAAGACGTGGAACTGAGACCCTTATTAATTCCCAGGGGCGGCTGGAAGCACCGTCTCTACACAGCTGTGTCTTGAAAAGTTTGGATTCAGCCAAGGCAGAGAGTCACCGCACCAGCCGGACTGTGAGGACAGCGGCCTCAGCCCCACGTCCAAGCGCTGGACAGGGACGGGTCTCACCGGGCAGAGGATGATGGACAGCACCGGGGGAGAGGTGACAACCTGGGGCCTGTGCTGCGACCCTTGCTTGGTGACAGTAAAACCGGACGCTCACACTGAACACTGTGATGGACACCTACTATGTGCTGCTCTCGAAGGCACCGTGGTGGGCAGAGGAAGCCCCCTGTGGCTCTCAGGCAGCGCCCAGGGGTGGAGGAGACACACTGTCCCTGTGGCTTCACTCTGTCCCTGGTGTTTTCCAGAAAGTAAAAAAAGATAATAAATGCTTATTGTTCAATGACATTAAAACGCCCCAGGATCACGTGATGGGAACTGAGTGTCAGTCCTGCCCCAGAACAAGCACCCCCTGCATGGCTACTGCAGGGCCGGCACCCAGTTCTCTCTCACTCACTCACCCGTTCAGTCAGTCGGTCACTCATTCCACAGGTCCCTGCTGAGCACCCACCGCACGCACGCTGGGGACAGTGTGAGCAGGACAGCCCTGGCCCTGCTCAGTGTGGCGCCCAGTTGTCGGGGAGATGGGAATGACTGCAGCACCGGCAAGTTGCAGTGACAGCCAGATGCTGGGGACAGACAGAGAGAGTCACCAGCCGGGGACAGCAATGCTCCGGCCAGTCCCAGGGGCCGTGCTTTTCCTTGCTGAGCCTGGTGCCGGATGGCACAGGTGTCAGGGAGCAGAGGAAGGGGCGCCGGCCTTGAACAAAAAGTCTCCACCCGGTAGGTACTGGCCACCCTGGAGCCTCCTGGGGGAGCCCCCACCCCCTCCTGACCGCTGTCGTGTCTGCAGAGTCCCCAGTCCTGGGCAGAGACAGGCCTCTTCCTGGAGAGAAGCCCCAGCCCCGATTCTCATCACACCCTCCCGAGCGCAGCGCCCGAAGAGAGGCCTCCGGGGAAGGGCTCTCAGTTCTCCTCGCCGGGCGCCTTACGAGCAGCCCGAACAAGCCTGCACTGTTCGCCTCTCACCTCCCGCCAAAAGCGAGGCTGTCACCGAGGACGACGTGAGAGCCCCGGCTGCAGCTGGGCTGCCTCGCTGAATGTCTCATCGTCCTCGTCTGTGTGGCCCCCAAAAAGGCCACATACACGCCAGACACGTGGGGGTGGGCGAGACCCCTCGCACCCACAGCTCCGCTTAAGAAGCCGGCCCATTGGCACCATCTGACTGGGTGCGCACACAGCAAAGGGGGGCAAGTCTCCCACTTCAGGGCTGATGGAGCTAAATGGTCCTGGGTCCAGGTGAGGCCTGGACGACAGCAAGCGCACACTGATGGACGCTATGCAGGTGCCAGGGACTTGGCCACGGGGGTGCAAAGATGAGTGAGTGTGTGTGTGTCCAGGGCTCGGGTTGAAGGGCACCGGGCGAGGTCGGGGGCGAGCCCCCTGGGCCGTGACGGGACGCAGGGCATACAGGGACAGTCCCTGAGGCTGACAGCGTGGGAGGCAGAGAAGCCGGCCCACGGCCCAGGGCCAGGAGTTGCTGATAAGGACCTTTCCAAGGGGCAGGTAAGAAACCTTCATCCACGGGTCACAGGGATGCAGGGTACTGACTGTCCTGCAGAGAAACCTGGTCCTAACTTGGGCAGAGTCTGAGGAATAACCTAACAGCTGGAAAATGGCCTCTGAAAAGCATAAAAATGACATCCAGCTGATAAAGACCTTCGATTGGCCGTGCAAGTCTGACTACAAACATTCACGGTCCAGCGTTGATCATCAGAGCAGAAATACGAATAAAAGCAAGAATGAAAAAAGAAGAAAAAGAAGAACTTGTGGCTCCAACTAGCACACAGAAGAGGCTTTTGTCTTTTGTCACTATGCGTTTTTCCCAAACCGCTCCCACCCCGGGACTCCAGCCTCAGCACTGCCTTCCGAGGGGTGCGCCCCACACGGGGCGCAGCACCAGCCAGTGGCTGCAGGAGAGGGAGGAGCCCTCTCCCACGCCTGTCCCACCAAGACCTTCCAAGTGCAATCCAGTGCACCACCTGACCACTCAGCACTCGGCACCCAGAGTGCCCAGGCGCCCACACCCAGCCAGCCTGCCCGAGCAGGACGATGAGCCTCCTTGCTGACCAGCTTCAGTCCCTCGTTCATTTCCCCTGACCTTGGGTCACTCTGCCTTTTCTAAAGCAACAGTCTTCAACCACCCTGGCTTCCCCAGCAGGCTGTCTTCTCCACTGACTTCTGTATCTGTGCTTCCCCCGCAGCGTGGAGGGGACTCTCGGGACATCTCCCTTTGGTGGCCTGCCAAGCCTTGGGCTAGAAACTTCATAACACTGCTCCTTTATCCTCACAAGCGCTCTCCAAGGCTGGTATTATTATTTGCGTTTTACAAGCGAGAGAAAGAAGGATTAAAGAGGGAAGCTGAGCCAGCGCTGCACCCAGGCAGTCTGACTCCATAGCCACCTAGGCCACCAGGGAGAACGTGGTCGGGACAGTGAGTCCTTTCACCTCCGTGGGAACAGACTTAACACTTCTGCTCTGCTGGGTGATCACTGTCCCTGCAAATTCAGGAAGGTCGCCTTCGGTCAAACTTATTTCATTGAGGGTAACAAAATACAAATTAATGGAGTCTAAGTTACTCTGAGTGTATAGTTACACATTAAAAGCCAAAACCATAGGCAATGGAGGAAAAAAGCACAGGAAGACACAAGATGCACTTGCTGTCATCTTGAGGCAGGTGTCATTCCTGGTGATGAATAGGTTCAGGAGGTGGCTTTTGAACAAATGTGGCGTGAGTGAGTGAGTGAATAAGTGAGTGAGTGAATGAGTGAATGAATGAGTGAATGAGTGAATGAATGGGTGAGTGAGTGAATGAGTGAGTGAGTGAGTGAGTGAATGAGTGAGTGAGTGAATGAGTGAGTGAGTGAATGAATGAGTGAATGAGTGAGTGAGTGAATAAGTGAGTGAGTGAGTGAATGAATGAATGTTTAGCCTTTAGGACACTCATACACTTTCTTTCCCTATTTTATTTGGGCCCCAACCTGTAGCTGGATTTCTTTTTTTCAAAAATAGAGGACTAGGCAAGTTGAATAGGACTGTATCTATTAAAGAAGTTGAATCAATAATTAGTAACTTTCCAAAACAGAAAGCACTGAGCACAGACAAGCCACTTGTGAAATCTACCAAACTTTAAGAAAGAAATTACACCAACTCTCTACACTCTCTTTGGGAAGGCATTCTATAAGGCCAGCATTGCCCTAATATCAAAATCAAAAAATTACTAAAAAAAAAGAGAAAAGTACAGACCAACTCATGAATGCAGATGTAAAAGTCCCCAACAAAATATTAGCAAATCAGGTCCAACAATGTACAAACAGAATTATATGCCACAACTATGAGGGGTTTATTCCAGGGACATAAGGCTGGTTCAACATATGAAAATCAATGAACAGAACCATGACATCAGCATGCTCGGGAAGGCACACCCGTGTTCATAGCAACAGAAACAGAAAAGCCATTTGACGGAATCCAACACCCACTCGTGATAAAGCTCTCAGCAAACTAAGAGCCAGGGGTGTCTAACCCGTGGCCCATGGGCCACCTGCAGCCCAGGATGGCTATGAAGGTGGCCCAACACAAAATCGTAAATTTACTTAAAACCTTTTTTTGCTCATTAGTTTTTGTTAGTCTTCGTGTATATAATGTGTGGCCCAAAATAACTCTTCTTCCAGGGTGGCCCAGAGACACCAAAAGGTTGGCCACCCCTGCTAAGAATAGAGGGGAATTCCCTTAACTTTAGAAAGAACATCTACCAAGACCCTACAGCTAACACACATGCGTTCCCACGAAGAACGGGAACCAGGCAAGGATGTGTCCTCTCCTGCTCCTTTTCAACATCGTACCGGAAGTCTTAGCTAATGCAATAAAACAAGCAAAGGAAATAATGGGTATACCCATTGGGGAGGGAGCAACAAAACAGTTTTTATTCATAGATTTATGAAGAAAATCTGAACTCATGAAAAAAAGAATCTCCTAGAATCTCCTAGAGCAATTACAGCAAGGTTGCAGGGCACCAGGTTAATATTGAGAAGTCAGGCACTTTTTTGTATGTCAGTAATGAACAGGTGAAACTATAAATTAAAAACGTAAGGCCATGTCCATGAGCACCTCCCAAAATAAAACACTCAGGTATAAATCTTTCTAAATTGTACAAAAGCTATGAGAAAAATGACAAAACTCGGATGAATGAAATAAAAGAACTAAACAAATGGAGAAATGTTCCGCATTCATGAGGAGGAAAACTCAATATTTTCAAGACATCAGCTCTCCCCTGCTTGATATGATGATTCAGGGGAATCCCAGCCAAAATGCCAGTGGGTTCTTTTGTGGACATCGAAAAACTGGTGCTGCAGTTTGTGCAGAGTGGCAAAGACCCAGAGACGCCAAGACGATGATGAAGGAGAAGAATCAGGCGGAGGACTGATACTATTTGGCTTCAAGACGTCTTACAAAGCTACAGTGATCGTGATGGTGTGACACTGGCCAAAGATTAGACAGCAGGTCACTAGAACGGAACAGAGCGTAAAAACAGATGCACATAAATCGTGCCAACTGACCTTTGAGAAAGGAACAAAGGCAACACCATGGAGCAAGACAGTTTCTCAAAGAATGGGGCCGGAACAACCGGACATCCACGTGCAAAAAAACAAAAAACGTAGACACAGACCTTACATCCTTTGCAAAAATTAACTCAAATGCATCACAGATCTAAATGTAAGACTCAAAACTAAAAAAACTCCTAGGAGATTAACACGGGAGAAAACCTGCATAATTGGGGATGGTGCTCACTATTCAGAAGCAACACGGAAGACATGATTCATGAAAGCTCATGAGCTGGACTCAGTTACCGTTGAACATTTCTGCCCATAGAAGACAACATCAAGAGAACGAGAAGACAAGCCACAGACTGGGAGAAAAATATTTGCAAGACAACTCTGATAAAACACTCTTATTAATAATATGCCAAGATCTTTCAAAGTCAACAACAAAAAAATAAACAAACTGATTCAAAAATGGGCAACAGACCCAACTGGAAACCCGGGTGAGGATGTACAGAGGACAAATAAACTCACACAAAGATGCTCCGTAGCACATGTCATCAGGGAAATGCCAATCAAAGCCAACGATGAGACACCACGGCTCACTTAGCAGAATGGCCAAAACCCAAAACTCTGACAACCCCAAATGCCAACCAAGGATATGAAGCAAAAAGAACTCCCCTTCGCTGCAGGGGGTGCAAAGTGGTACAGCCCCCTTGCAATGTGACAGGTTCTCATTTTCCTACAAAACTACAGACACTTTTATCATAGGATCCAGAAATTGTGCTACTTGGTGTTTACCCCGACGAACTGAAGTATGTTCCCACAAAACCCTGCACACAGATGTTTATTCAGAACCACGCAAACTTGCAAGCAACCACGATGTCCTTCAGAAGGAGAATAGATGAATACACTGCGGAACAGCCGGACAATAAATTATTACTCAGGGCTAAAAAGAAACGAGCCATCAAGACATGAAAACGCACGGAGGAACTATAATGTGAGTTACACAGGGAGAGAAGCCAGTCCACAAAAATCATACCTGCGTGTGCGTGCAACGATATGACCTTCAGGAAAAGATGAATGAGACAGGAAGAAAATCAGTGGTCTCCTGGGGGTTCAGGGGGAGAGAGGAATGAACCGGTGGAGAGAATTTTTAGGGCATTTTCTGAGGATACCATAATGGTATAGGATACTATACGTTGATCGAAACCCATAGAAAATCATATCGAGTGAACTCTGGAGGCCCACTGCAGACTATGGACTGTGAGTGACCAGGACACCCACTCACGCACAGGTTGTGGGAGGAGCCCCGCCCACCCCTGGCTCTGAAGGGACGACCCGCAAGAAGGAGGCCGCTCCTGTTGGTCCTGCCGGGCATTTATCCGTCCGGGCCACCTGGCGCACACCTCCAGCCGCCCCCCATCCCTGCTGTCTGTCTTGGACCACCTGCAACGGCCTCTCTCCGAAACCTGCGGAGCCCCCCACAGCGGACTGACCCAGGGTCTCCGAGGGTCCAGGCAGGGGCTCTGCACAGGGATTTACTCCCTGCTCTTCCTCCAAGGCAGGTGGGGCCAGGGGAGAACCCAACAACAGCAGCTGCCTCCCAGGGTCAGCAAGGATGACGAAGAACACAGAGGACATGCCTGGGTCTGTGGCCTCAGGGGGGGCAGGTGGGGGAGGGATGGGCGGAAGGAAATGAGCACACAGCGGACAGGAAGACAAATGGCCCAGCCCACACCCTTTGGAGCTTCGAGATGAAGGAAGCCCCATCTCGGGCCAAAGGCCTCACTCTCACGGGCCTCAGTGGCCGTCCTGGGGACACATGACCCAATTCCCTGGGGATGTGTCGCAAGAGTGAGTGTTTGGTTTACTGACAAACCTCGTTCCTGCGGAGGAAGGCCACACACCGAGCGTCCGCACCAGCTTCCTGTCCAGTGCGGGTGGCCCTCAGTGCTTGTGACATTAGTCAGCGGAGGAGCAGGAGCCCACAGCAGACAGACAGGCACCAGGGACAAGGAGCTGCAGGCCCAGTGAGCACGACACAAAGACCCGACTGGAACACCGTCCCCCCAACAGTCCCCTCGGGGAGCCTCTCCTCGCAGTGAAGCCGGGCAGGGTCCCGGGAGAAGGCTGAGGTTGTGGAGAGGCTGCAGGTCGCTGTCAGACTGAAAGGATACAGCTTCTGGGGGGGCCGGCCCTGCGATTGGAGGGGCAGCCAACACGTCCTCGGAACGAGGGGGAAACCTGCGAGAGGTGCAACGCACCATTTTGACCGTTGTTAGCTGTTCACCTCGGTGGCACTCGTCACGTTCATACTCTTGTGCTGCCACCGGCACCATCACCTCCAGGACTTCCCCATCTTCCAAACTGAATCTGTCCCCAGAAAATACAAACTGCCCATTCCCTGCCCCCAGCACCCACCATTCAAATCTCCGCCCCGTGAATGTCTCTGCTCCAGGCACCCCCCAGAAGTGGGGTCTCGCACTCACTGTCCTCAAGGTGCATCCGCGCCGCGGTGTGCGCCCTTTCCAACTCCGAGTGCCGCTCCCTCGCAGGGAGGGATCGGCGTGGTTTGCCCGGCCACCCGCCAACGCATGCTGTATGGTTGGGTTTTAGGTCAAAAGCTAAAGGGTCAGCTCAAGAGCCCACAAAGGCACAGGCTTGCTAGTTGGTTATTTTTTTTACTACAAGAACTTCACAACAATCTGAAGAAAACATCTTCTTCCAGGAAACTTCATTTCAGAGACGTGGATGGACAGCACCCACACCCCACGTCCTCATTTCTGCAACGGACTCCCACGCCCGATGACGGTGCCTGCCTCTGGCGGCTGGGGGAGGTGTGAGGCTCCCTTTGCTGCCTGGGACCCACTGCTCTGTTACCACCGCTGCCCCCTGTGGTTTTGGACACTGAGATCCCAGGCCCCTGGACTTGCCGAGGGAGAAAAGGCCTACACGGGGCAATGCTGACCCCCTTTCCCCAGAGCGACAGAAAAAGACGTTCTGCTTTGCAGAGAAGTGTCAGCATTCTGACTACTTTCTTTACCTTCCCTCGCTGGTGACAGAGCCTGGGCTGCTCGCGGAGGAGGTCAGGGTGTCACACTGTCATTGTGGCTCCACACTGGGTCTGCAGGGAGCGCTGGGCTGGGCTGCTCTGCCGCCCCCTGGTTCCCCACTCTGCAAATCCCCTGGCTGCAGGGAAGGGCCCTGGGACCCATGTCCATGAATGAAGGGAGCCTGCACATAGAGACAGAGTCTTCCGGAGTGCCCATGGGGGCTTGGCTCACGGCATTTCTGCGAGATGCAGGAGCAGAGCTGGGTTGTAGAAAGGGCAGGGGAATGGATGCCAAGAAAGGAACCAGAACTGTGTTAATTTGGGTGGGAAGCTGACTACCCAGAGAGTAAATGCAGCCAGGACCCAGGACGCATGTCCTGTCCAACTCACCTGGTGCCACAAACATTAAGCAAAAGTACCCGTATATATTTACACAGCTGTCCACATTTAAAAACTGCAACGTTCTCCCCAAACAGCTTCTCTGGCAAAACCAGAAGACGTGCCCCTGAGGCTGCATTCTCTGCGTCCACGTGGGCTGACCCTGTGCAGGGGCGCCCCCTGTGGCCAGGGCAGGAACTGCGCCCCTGCGCTGAGGCCCGCCCAGCTCTTCTGGTGCCAGTACCCCACCTGCCTGGCTCGTGCCTGGGACTTTTCCTGGGGCCGCCGTGCCGGGCGTGGGACAGAATGGGAGCTCCGTAAATGTGTGTCATCCCCACAACTGCAGGATGGCAGCGTCTGGGAAACCGAGGAATGAAGGAAGGGGGCAGCGGGTTCCGGCTGGGAGGCAAGGTCCATCTGAAGTCAGTCAGAGCACCCTTTGCAGCCCAAGGCCAGCCCTGCCTTTTCAGTGGCGCTGGCCTTGACCTCTCAGCCACGGCAGGGCCTCCTGTTCCCACCAACCCCTCCACTCTGCTCTTCCCCGTCCTGCCCCACCACTGCTTCCACAGCACTTGGCTGTCCTGTCCCCGGGGCCTCAGGACAGAGCCCTGCCTTCGCCAGCTCAGCACTCCTCCAGCTCCACAACGCCCTGCTCTGCTCAGGCCCCTCATTTGTTCATTCCTCTGCCTATGCTGGGCCCCTGCTGAGCTGCCCAGGGCACGGGGGAGAGCGCACTGCCCCCGGGGAACATGGGAGAGTGAACTGGGGGTCACACACGGCGGCACAGGTGCCATGGCAGACAGCAGCCGGTGCCTGGCTCATTCCGTGTCCTTCCACACGTCCATCTGGGTCTCGGCTCCCTGCCTGTCACCTAGAGCCCGGCCTGATGCACAGCAGGAGCCATGGTGACACCCAGTAAAGAGGGGATGTCCTGTGTGCAGGGGCAACAGGAGGGGACCTGTCTAAAGAGGGAGAGGGAGAAGTCCCTGAGGGCTTCTCGGAGGAAGGCGTGCAGCCCCACTTGAGCAGACATGGACGAGGAGCATGTGCACAGGGGGCATTGGGCTGCCTGATCATCGTGCTAAGCAGGTGGCCGGGGGGAACGGTGGGCTGGGAGGCAGTGGAGGTGGGCAGGGGTCTGGTGGGAGCCTCATTCTCTGGCTAAGCAGGTGGGATTCTTGCAGGAAGACCATGAGGGGCGTTTAACCAGGAAAGCACCAAAGTCAGGGCAGGGTTTTCAGAAAGATGGTCTGGGTGTGGGGGTGTCAGACAGACCAGAGGTACCTCTCCCTGCCCTGGGCGCCATCTCCTCTGGGGGCTATCTCTTCCCCCTTGGAGGCCCCTCCTGTGGCCATGGCGCCCCCCACCAGTGCCCGGCGGTGCAGAACCGTTTCCTAGAGACTGCCTGGAAGCCCCGTGAGGTCCAGGCCACGTTTTCCCGCCCCGTGTACCCTCCGTGCACAGAGATAGAGGAGCCTGCGCCACACTAACCCTTCCAACACCTGCAGCACGATTTCCACGGGTCACAGAGAGTCCTGGGAGGGCCGTCTGGCTGGTTTTCCCGTAATAGTGAGACCTCCAATGTCAGGCCCTGTGTTCGTTGCGCAGACACAAACTTTAACCCGTCCTGCAGGTCTGCTCTGGAGAAGGAAGGTGTCAAAAGTGAAGGGTGATGAAGGACTGAAAGAAGGGTCCCCAGAAGGAGACATTCACCAATGGAATGATTTTCTTTTGTTGTCAGTAAGAGGGAAAGTCCTCGAGTCCTACTTGACTGAACAAGCTACGATGTGACTGGCAAACAGACATCTGGGAAGGGGGTTCACTGGATGGCATGCTATTTAAAGATAACGGATGATGGATTAGTTCGCAGCCTTGGCTCAGAGAGGCATTCGTACAACCTTGTTCCAAGGGAGGGAAACACTTCTCCGTCCCAGCAGGCTCAGACGTGCCGGCTTGCTCGAGTTCTTCTCGGAAGATTCGATAACACCAGAGCCCACGTGGAGCACCCCGGGCTCGTCAAGCCCAGGCAGGACCCACAAGGAGAGATTTGGGGCCCGAGGATGGAGATAACACTTTCTAGCAGCATCTGCCCTGGCAAACATGGCGGGTCCCTTCTGCCTTTCCACTGCCAAACAGAGGCAGCGATGACACTACTCTCCCAATTGACACAAGCCCCACCAGGAGCGAGAAAGAATATTAAGGGGTAGCAACACGTGAAACATATCTTAAACCTGTAACAAAAAATAATATCGATCCAGCAATCCCACTTCTGGGTAAACACCAAAAGGAAAGGAAATCGATTATGTCAGAGACACTTGCGCCCTCACTCACCGCGGCCCTGTTCACAGCGGGCAGGAGACGGACTCGGTGCGTAGACGAGGAAAGAACACGAGAGAACACACCCAGGATGGTAGTGGTTTATTTAAAACACGGTGAGTAAGGGATTTCCCTCCTTTTTCCCTCCTGACATTCTGGTTCTGCCCGGATGAGGAACCGCCCTGGGGCTCCCGTCCCCTCATTTGCAAAACGCCATCCCTGGGTTGGATCATCGCTAGAACCTCCTTTCCGCTCCAAAGTCTAGGATTCGGATTAGAATCCACACTCCTGGTTTACTGTGGGCGAGGGTGGAGCTATGAGCCCCCGATTTCCGACAATGCCACGGTGAGTGTGCAGCACAGGGCGCTGGTGGGGAATGTTGGTCAAGTGAGCCACGAGAAGGCCTAGAGGGGCAGGTTCCTCAGACAGACGTGTGCAGAAAAGCAACGTAAGCCCCATATTTATTTAGTTTTCTTTTTTAGTATGTTCGAATGGTTATGCTATTACACTTGTCCCCTTCCCCCCTTTACTCCCCTCCGCCATGTGCACCCCTCTACCCGCATTCCCCTCCTTTGGTTCACGTCCATGGGCCGTACATATAAGTTCTTTGGTTAAGCCCCATATTCAAATCCTTAATCTCATTCACAGGCGCGTTGCAGCCGGGTCCCTGGCATCAGCACCTCCAGCTTTGCCTTTTGTGCGTCCTCCACGCCTTTCCAGGAATGCAAATCCCGGAGTCAGGGCTGCCAGGGCGCCAAGGAGCCTGCGGCAGCCGGTGCAGCAGCGGGCAGGGCGGGAGCCTCAGACCCAGTGCCTCCGTCGGGCCTCCGACAGGACACCCGCCTGCCTTGTACCAGGGGTCGTTATTTATGTCCTTCAAAGGGTGACAGCAGCGGACACCAGGTCTTCTCTAAACCGAGCTGCCACGGGACATTATCGGCTCATTTATCACTCGAATATGAGCCGTGGGAACAGCGCTAGGCATTCCATGAGCTGGGAAAAGGGTTCCTGGGGCGCTACGGTCCCCCCAGCCTGGGCTTCAGAACTGGCTCTTCAGTAGGGTCACTGATCCAGGGGACCCCCCCAACACGGGCACACGCACGCCCCTAGTAATTACATACCATTAACACCGACAGCTCAAATTACTCCCACAGACAAACCCCAAGTCCATTCGCGTTCGTGAAACAGTCCCGAGACAAACTCCACTGCGGGAGACCTTCGCCAGGCTGCAGTCGGCGAGGAGTGTCAGTCTTCCATTTGTAAGTACGGGGGAGACACTGCTGTCACAGGTAGAAGGCGACACCCAGCCCCTGGGGGACCTGACAAACACAGTAACTTTCACAGTTAGGAAAGAAATGAGGTGTAGGGGGTTTGTGGAGCTGCAGCTTGCCCGGGGAAGAGCGCTCGCCACGCGCCATGCTGCACCATGGGAGAGAGTCCCAGGAGCACGGCTCAGAGGCCACTGCCCCCCGCACAGGGGAGGAGACTGGGCAGGGTTGACATTAGACACTGAAATAATCTATACTGTTTGCCTCCATGGCGTGGTTCGGAGGTGGTTCGGAGTGTGATTGGCCAACACCAGGAATTCCTTCCAGGTCAGAAATGTCCATCTTGGTGAAGACCCTGGGGAAGGTCCCGGTCACCATCTGGGCACTCAGCAGACCCTGTCTTGGGCACTGAGGGGAGACTACGCCCCCCCATGCCTCCGGCGTGACTCTTCGAGGGGGCTGGAAGTGTCTCCAAGCCAGAGTGCCCTGCAAAACGGACGAGAGGGGCCCCCTTGGGTGGGGATTGGGGTCCTGCCAGGAAAAGGGGGCTCCAGGGGGCAGGACAGGAATAGCGATGGAGTTGCCGGCCCAGGCGCTGGCCCTTAGTGGGGGCTGTGTGGGGCCCCATGAGTGCCCATTGCCCAGGAGGACGGGGTTGGGGAAGCCTCATGCCCTGAGATGACCCGTTCTCCCTGCCAGGGGCCCCGGGTTGGTTTTGTCACAAAGCTCAACTTCCCTCGCAGCCAGGCAGCAGCCCGCCTGGTCATAGGGCCACTTCCGTACCTCGG